TCCTCACTGCATCAGTCTTTCTGCAGGCTCGTTTAAAAAAACTGTGTAGGATTTCATTTAGTGAAAGAATCTATTGCTGTCTGTAATTCTTAATATGATTTAAACTTTCTCTCTGTAAAGAAATTACCTTTTCTCTCCATTTTCATGTTTGAAGACTTTTTTTTTATTGTATAAAATGTATGTAATTGTAGTAGAGTTCTTTAAAAAAGTAACTTACTAATGATTGCAGTTAGGCTGACCCTTCAGCTCAGTTGGAAGAGAACTCTCTTGTGTGAAAATTTATAGATGGCATTTGAACGTCAGCATTTTGTTTCTTGCATTGTTGCTCGTGCATATTGTACTAAATCTTAGATTTAACTCTCACAGATTCATACTGAAAACATTGTTTGATTTTAATATTACTTAAGTACCACAATGTTTTTTTTTTCCTATTACAGTTTGTGGACAGTGATGTGGATGAAGAACTCCTGTTCAATATTCCGTAAGTACTTCTGAATTTTTTTTAAGCAAAGTTACATGGAATCAAACCCCTGATTTTTAGTGTTGTAAGCCTATAGACTTACAACTCTCTGTTTTTTTTTTTGTTTCTGTTTTGGAATTACTTGCAAAGTGTTTCAAGATAAATTTAGCATTTCATCCAACCAATAATCTTCACACAAGCTAAAATTTGTAGGACATTTTACTTATCAAAAAACCTTTTACTATGTATAATTGGACTGCTCAGTTTTGATATCATCAGATAATATGGAGATGAATAAATAACCTCAGTTGTTATTAAAATTATTTGAAACAATTATTAGTATTATATTATAGGAAGTTTGTAATGATTTACTTTGCTTTAGTTTTACAGGAAGTGTCAAATTAAAAGGAATTATATTAATTGGTGGAGAAGACCAGAGTTATCCGTCGAAAATGAGACTGTAAGTCTTTAGCATTGTTTTGCTTATAGTATCACTTATTCTTTTTTATGTTGCAAAAAAGTAATACTACTTTTAAATTCTAAATATGTAAATAGATTAGTTTTTAACTGGGCAATTATTTTAAATAAAGACTGTTTGTGCTTGGAAGCCATATATGTTGTTTATAAGACAACTTTGCATAAACTAATTGTATGTCAACTTGTAGATTTACTTAGATATGTTTCTTTTAGGTTTAAAAATCGCCCTCATCTATCATTTGATAATGTTGCAAGTGAAGCAGATCAGGAGTTTGAATTGCACCCAGATCCATCGGGGACCATTGAATATTCTACAAAGTATGATAATCGGCTTACTAAATCCAGTTTATGTATTGACTGCACAGATTAACAAGCTTCTGTTGAATGTCAAGTTTTACCAAATAAAAACTATTGTAGTATTTATTTAAAGCTATTGACAACACAAACTCTTCCAGAAAATCTAAAAAATGCTATACATCTCAAATTATTTTTTTAAAACAATTTGTTGTATCTATACACCTATTGTATGTCTCTCTCTCTAATAAATAAATAAAAAAAATTATTTACTAGTGCTGTCACTTTTATGTTTAATTATTTTGTTTCAAAAGGGATATTAGTTTGCATATTATATACATTATTCTAATAATTGTAAACATTTTTTGAATAATAATTGCAACAGTAATTGAAGTGTATTTTATTTTTCTGTAATTTTTGTCAGGGTTTTGTATTTGTTGAGTGTAATATTAACTGACATTTTAGACTTCAGTTACTGGACTGATTCTTATATTCTAACAAGTTCATTAGTTTATACTGGATGTTCTAAAGAAAATATAACTATGTTTTTGTTTTCTTTTTTAGGATTGTCAAATTTTCTGGTGTACAACACCTTTCTTTACATTTTCCAACCAACTTTGGTGCTGAAAATACAAGAATTTATTATATTGGTCTACGAGGTGAATACTCTGAGGTTAGGATTCACGTTATATATGTAAATTTCACCCTTTTTTTTTTTTATATATATAGATGTAGTGCACTTTCATCAAAATTGTAAATTAAACTTAGACCTTTATTATAAATTTTTTTAAAGTGAAGTGTGCGTATATATATAAATAAACATATTTATATAATTGGTTCCAAATTATAAACGTTTTGGATTCAAATATCAGCAAGACTTCCATAACTATATCCCATTCTGTTATTTAATAAAGCTGTTTGTTGTAGTGCTTCATTTTTTTATATTATATTAATAGCTTAAGCTTACACTTACCTGTTTTTATTTCTTTATTCTGTTATATACCTCATTAGTCAGTTTTCTTGGATTTTATTGACTGTTGTCCCCAATATTGCTACCTTATCAATTGATGTAGTTCATAGCTTAATCTAATGATGCTGTATGCACTTTGTTTTTGTACTTTATTCCCCCTTTTTTTTTCTTATGTCTTGTTGTTTTAGCTAATAGGTGTTTGTATAGTTTATATCATTTTTGTTCATATTTTAGTATTTGGAAATTTGTGTCTTTTTATTTAAGGCTTTTATGATATAATGAATTTTGCACTGTTCGTTATGCTAAATTTGTTTTGTACAATTGCCTTTTATGTTTCTTTTTCTTTCTTTATAATGTATGATTATGCATTAGTTTAGGTTCTCTCTATTCTGGATGTGTAATTACTGAGGTACATCCCTTTATGCTAATCTAGTGATTCTCTCCTTTTTTCTGTTTTGAAGACTATATATTATACTGCTTTATTCTTTGTTATGTTCGTTTTCTAACATTGTATTTTAATATTAATTTGATATTTACTGTAAAACTTTAGTGCAATCAAAATATAGAAATGTAAGTCAAAGAGGTGTTTTTTATTGGAAGTAATAATTTTATAACATTATTATAAGTACAGGGAAATGCAAAGACAATAATATTGAAAACAGATTTTCTATTCAATGTTTATTTATCTCAATAACAGTATATGAGTAAATGAGTAGTGTCACTACTTGTGTTCAGGAGTCTATAGTAAGTTGCAAGGCAATTGTAAGTAGTGTGATAATGTATTCCTATAGAAGCTGCTTGTCTTCTCTGATTGGCAAAGTAAAGTACTAACAAAAATAGAATTGCAACTGCCTAAAGATATCAACTATACTAACCAGTGGTGTAAAAGAAAGTATTTTCTCTTATTTCTTTAGTATTTCTCAGTAGTTTTTATCTCACCTTTTTGACTACGTAAGTAGCTTGAATACAGACATATATGAATAGTGTGTGTTATATATCAAAGTGCAAAAAGAAAAATATTTATAGTGATATAACTTGTTCATTTAGAAAGTTCTTTATAGTATACAATTTTTAAAATCTCTGATATACGAAATGTTTTTTTTTGAGGGGACATAACCCTTTTTATACAGTACAAAGAAAATATCTTTCAAGAAATAAAATTATTGAAAGAAACTTAACTTTTTTAATAGTTTATAATTGTGTATAAACTCATCTTTTCCTTTCTGTGTATAAACTGTATTGCTAAGTAAGAATAGTAGTTAAAACATTACAGTTTGTGAAGCCATATAAACATGTCTTTCATTAGGTTATTTACTAAATTATAAGTTTTCTGTTACAAAAACTTGTGTAACTCTAAAGGTTTTATTTTATTAAGCTCAGTTTACTGGATTTTGCTGGTTTTGAAAATATTTTTGTAAATTGAATTACATATAGTTATTAATTAATCAAAGTTACATTTTATAGTAAACTTTGAAACTATTTTAATCTTCTGTTTTTGTTTTTCTTTATTTTGTGAATAAAATTAAAAATTAACCTTTTGTAGCTGGAAATCAAGCATAAATGTCCAATATATTTAGACTTAATATTAACGATTGCAGTTTTTGACAGATTTAGAATGGAATCCAGTACTACTCCCTTGGATAGCGAGTTGTTATTAAATGATTGTGATCTAGCTGAGTTTTTTTGTAGATGTTCTAACTCTAAATTTGTGTGTGTATGTTTATTCTGTTGTTATTTTGAATAATTAACATTGCTTTTAGGTCTTTGTGTCTGTAATTCTACTTTCTTATACTTTAACTATCTTGTAAGTTTCTTTCCAGGATATTTTTCGTTAACCTAAAAACTTGTGTGCCCAAAGTTTTTTTGTTTTTTTTATGACTGATGGTTTTGTTCGCTCTATTTCGTCTGAATTCTGTCTTTTCTTATGCTTGTTATATTCAAAGTGGAATGAAGTAAGTTGTGATTCTTCCTCATCAGTTTCAGCTTTCAACTACCAGAAGCTCTAGAAAAGGTCTTACATCTGCACCTTTTCATCATTCTTCTTTGGTACAAGATCACTTGCATATTTCATATTTTTAGGATTAGGGTCTTTTTTCCTTTAATTCTATATATGTGTTGTTTCTTTTTTTTCTATAGGACTTCCTTTGATTCTAGGGGTTATTTGGCTGCTTTAACAATTCTTCTCTGTTTTTGGTCTGCCTTTGGATTTTGCTAATTTCAGGATTTATTGTCACTTTTTTTGGTATTAAACATCCACTTTTTTCTCACATTTTTGTTGATTATGTTTCTTGCTAGTTTTTCAAGTTATTTGTTATTTTCTCTTGGCTTCTGCTGCTTCTAAGTTGTTACTTGGAATTGTTGTTGTTGTTCATTACTGTATGGTTTCTACTTGTCCATGATGGTTTTAAATGTTTCCTCAATATGCCAATTTTTATATAAGTCTTAGACAGCTGAAAATACTTGTGTATTTCTTTGTTCTCTCTCTGTGGCCCTTGGATATTATTGGTCTGTACAGTTTCATTGTTACCTAGTCTGACAGTCTGAACTAAGTAATTTCTTGTGAACGTCATTCTTGCTTGCTTATCCATTTGTGTGCAGAAAATATGTACAAAATGTATAAACAGTTTTTTAGTAGTTAATGAGGAATTGAAATTTTTATATCTTTCTAAGCTATGGGATTTATAGACATCTCTTCATTATGGGTTTTGTTCTAGCACAAAGCTGCACAATGGGCTGTCTGTGCTACGTTCTCTTTGAGAGTCAAACCTTGAATTTGAGTAGTATAAGCCTTCAAGCTTAAGTTCATGATTGTCTAATTACTTTTGACATATTTTTCAGGGAATTGTTTTTCATACACTTTACTGTTGCTGGTTTGTTTTTGTTTGTCCTCTGGCATGATTAGAGAAGTTGCTATTTACATTGTTATACTACTAGTTGTGAAATTTTTGGTAAGGCATATGTTGTCTCTGTACGCTATCTTTCCTACAGTAGTTGATTTTTATTTCTTGAAAATGGATCTTTTCCAATTAATTAGCCCTGTTACAAAGATTGCATAGATCCTTCAAAAGTCATGAAAAATTAGTTCTAAATTTTTGCATTTCACTGCTAGAAATCTTATGTTTTTAAGTCTTGGTCTTAGAAGATTCCTAAGAGTACAGTTTCAATAACAATAATAATAAAAGTTCCCTCCTGAAATAATTGCTTAATTAAAAAGAAAAATTAACATGCAATAAAAGTTTGTTTACTGAATTCAGCTTTGTTTGTTGGCCACTGCGAATCTCGTGACTCAAGACTGTTGCAATATTTTTTGACAGACACATTTGAGGAATGAAAATGCTAATTTTAACTTGCATAGCAACATTTGAGACCCATATAAATTTTAGAATGGGTCCAGAAACAAAATCCTGGAATTGTCTTTTGTAAAGTTTATAGAAATCCTGTACAGTTTGGTTCATTTCTGCTAAAAACTTGTGAAACCTGAGATCATAATGGTCTGATTAATTTGTATATATATTGTAATATATATCAGTTTTAGTGATTCAGTGCAAACAAAACATTAGCTTAAACTCTCCTATTGCTCAAGTTTTACAGATTAAGATTGTACTACACAGAGATCAACAGTGTTCATTTGATTTAGGAAAATGCAGTATCTTTGTGTCAGGGTTTTGTATATGGGCTGGGATTTACATAGGTGTCTGTGACTTGTTTGCAATTAAATTCAAACAATAAATATACAGCACACAATCTACTTGTTTCAAAATAATATATTCAAAACAAGTTAAATTTATGTACAAAAATTCTTTACATTATGGAATATCACAGTTGTATCTAAAATTCTAAATAATTATATTTTTTTTTCTTCTGTTATCACAATATAAGTAGTGATAAGTTCACTTGCATTACCTTGTGGGCTACCGCAGTTGTATACAGAGCTTTAAATAATTCTCAAAAGTCCACACAGGTTACTTCAGTTATTTTAGAACCCAACTGACGAGACAAATTATTTTTGTCAGTTTCATACAGCACAATCTGTGATAAATTCACTTACATTACCCCATGGGTTAACACAGTTGTATCCAGAACTTTTAATTAATTGTCTTCTTTTCATCAAAGTCCACACAAACAGGTTAAGTTGCTTTAAAATGCCCTTTAACAAGACAAGTTCTCCTTATATCTGTTAAACTTGCTTCAAAATATTGCCATTATGGCTAAACTAACAATCTTGCAGTCTTACTTCACTTTCAAGTACTTAATATTTTCCTCTTAACTTAACTCTGTATCTGAACATATTTATAACACATGGCAGAAAAATCTAGAAATATCTAACTCTCTAGTAACAATAATATCACCCTTAACAAGACAAACTTAGAAGCTTCAAGTAAGATGACATCGTTAATATTACTTACAAAGCCTAGTACAACAATTAAACTGCAACACAATGTAAGACTCGTACTGAGTTATGTAATGAAACTTGTCAGAACTATAGTTTTTAAAATAATTAACTTGAACACTCTTCTTATGTAAACTAAAGAATCATTAAATATCAGATCACTAAATGATTTAAATGATAACTCTTACACTAAACAGTCTTGTATATCTAACACTTTGTCTTTTAAAGATCATGAAATTAAAGTAGTCTAGAACAGGTCTTATTAGACCAGTTCTTGTTTAACATAATATTTATAATGCACCAAGAATGATTTTATTGCTCTTCTCATGACAGGATCTTCCTGTTGACAGCAGCTTTCCACAACCTTCATCTTTCTTCACTTTGTGTATTGTCAATGTTTCCTTGGTTAGATATAACCACAAATAGGCATTTGTAAAATAGTTGTATTGCTTTTCCCATCAATAGTGCATTTCCTAGGCCTAGTTTTGTTTTTATCTGAGACTCAAAATAGTAGACATATCCCACAATACAGCATGTCGCAATATGTGTAGATCTTGTAAAATCACATGAGAACAAGCCATATATAACAATGTACTTCTTTCCACAGTCACTGGTTTCATGTCTACTAATCCCTGGGTAGTATACCTAACAGGAGCTCTCTAAGATTTAAGATTTCTTTCTGTGCTCAAGACAAATACTGTTTCACTTTCTTAACTCTTGTCATTTTCTTATTGAAAATTTTTCTTTAAATCTACATTTTAGAAATGAATATAAAAGTTAAGATGCTTAGTTGTTAATATAAAAAAAAATTATAATAATAATGCTTTCCCTCATGTCCAGTTGTTTCTGAAAACAGTGACTTCAGTAACTGTCATGATGTGTATTATGCACTTCTAATGGAAGGGTTTTTCATGATTTTTGAGTTTGAGAATGAGTTTGTTTCTCTACAATATAGCTGAAGTACAAAATATTAAATTTGAAGATTGTTTGTTTAGAGCCAAGTACATATGTTAGTTTCATTATAGTTTTAAAGCTGTATATTTTTGGTTTCATTGAAAGACTTGTTGTATCATAAACCAAAGGCACAATGTATTCTGTAACACTGATAATCCTGAAGTGTTGACTAATAGTTTTAACTTCTTTATTAACCAGATTTCAATATTCAAATATACAGTGAAATCTCATTTATCCAAACACACTTGTAATGAACTAATTATCAATACATCTGGATAGTCAAATGGGTCATTTTGAATACAGCGGACACTATCGAAATCATGCATTATCAATCGATAAATGTATGGGTTCAAACTAATAAAGAATGATATGTAACTGGTAAACTAAAAGCAACTGTATGTACAATAAACTTATCGGTTGATTGTTCTGTACATCATCAACAATTGCACATGTTGCATAATCAATGTGCCATTTCATTACCTTCACACAAAACATCATGTTGTTCAAACCAATTATGTACTTACTTACAGAATACAAAATATCAGGCAGGCGGGGTAGCACTGCCTATGTAGGGATGGCTGGTATTGTTGGTCGAAATGGTATTTTATATATATATCTCTTCAATAGGTCATCAGAACTTGTACTGTACAGTGTTTCCTTTTATAACAATATCAATGTAATGACTGAGTCATAAGTTCTGGGAATATCTGTAAATATCATAGCAAAAAGTTTGAATTTCTTGTTCTTCTTCCTTCTTTTTTTATTACATGATAACTCGAAAATCATAACAATGATGACAACCAATTTCACTGAGATGACATAGTTTCAAATGGAGTATCTGCTTTTATAAGTATTATTAATAACTAGTAGTACTTAAACAAAAAAAAATCATACTTCTAGTGTAAACGACATTATCATTATTCCATGAAGTTAGCTTTCTTACAGAAATCTGGTGTTCTTGTAAAAAAGAAAAAAATTAAGTACAGGGTGAAACAGGAATTACGAACCAATAATCTATAAACAATAAATATTACATTTGGAACCTCATTGTATTTAAAACCTCGTTATAAGTACAATCTTTCTATGCCTATTGAAACACTGCATTAAAACAACTACATAATAGGATATATATATATATATATATATATATGTAACCAATCTCAAATGAGTTTAATTTATCCTATTTTTTCTGTTAACATTTTACTACACTGTGCCTGTGCTATTGTGTGGGAGTGATGCAAATGCCATCCCTACTATCTTGTTTGCATTGTTTTTTGAAGGATTGACATTAGCCATCTCTACATTTACTTTCTTTGTTGAAAGGATATTTTCTTTACTTATACATAGTATTGGTCAATTATGCAACAAATCACTTTCCAAAGAAGTATGTAATCAGAGTCTGCTTTTGAATTGAAATATGACTTGACGTGAACGTAACATAAGCCACTCGGTTGACCTCTAAATATTTATTTTAGTTTATATGTGCATCCCTACTGTGAAAGTTGTTCTCAGAAATGTTGTCACAAACTAGCACCTCGTGGGTTATAGTTGTACTCAAAAGTTGTTGCAAACTGGTAACAACTGGTTAGTTCAGGTGTTTTGTGGTCACTAATTATCACCTCATTTCCTGTTCTGATTGACCAAATTCATTTATTCATAAAAAATGTGTTTCTTGTAAGAAATAGCTGCTCGGATTAGGAAGTTCTGAATAAGAATATACGGATCATTTATTAAATTTCCTTGTGAATATTTGTCTACATGATAAATTATCCCGATTGTCAATGTCCAGACTAATGAGGCTTCACTGTACTGTGTAGTATTCCTATAGAGAGAAGTGCTAAATTAAAGATACTAATTTATATGTCAAATCTGTTAATATTTAAGCAATTCTCTTGTCTTTTGTAATTCCTCTGGTTTTAAAAAAATATCATTTGGTTAACATCTAAGCTTTGGAGTGCAGACTGATTATGACTGTTTGTTTTTACCTACCAGGTAACAGGTTAAAAAGTATACTTTTTATTACAGTAGCCTGTTAACACTATTTGTGCATTCTTTTTTTAGCTACCTCGACAGGAGCTGACACTGTTCTGTTATGAATCGTCCCCCAACCCAGCTGACCACAAGATCGACTCTGTTCATTCTGTTATGCACCAAATTCACTGATCTTTTAGGTTTTTTTTTTCAGGTATTTATCTTTTAGTTGTGTTGATACAGTGATTCTCAAATTGCATTCTGCCTTAGATTAATAATACAGTTTGTTTTTTGTGTGCTCAATAAATATATGTTATGCTTAAGTACACAAGCTTCTCATTGTTAATTCACTAACAAAAGTATGCACTAACAGTAATTGCAATTCACACAACATTTAGCCTTGATAATGGATGCAGACCGCATTCGAAACGTGTCGGCCAATTCACCACTATCTACAACTTTTGCTCGTTGTTCTAACAACGTTAAAACTGCTTATCGACTTCTTGAGAAGATTTCCAAGAAGAAAGTAAACCTACAGACATTGGTGTTATTCAACAAAATCTGCCTAAACGAAAAATCTGTCACCAAAGTACACCAACAAAGTATTTGAATAAACTGTTATTCTCAACCTCTTGGTAAAGATGTCATAAGCTGGAACATTTCAGATGTTCATTTTACAGAATGTAAAGACTGTAGAATCCAAATTCATTAATCCTAATTACTACATAGATAAAATTTATATTCATACTGAGGATTAATTATACCTTATGGTATTCCATGCATCATGCTGTTCTTGGAAAGACTTCTTCCCTCTCCAACAACTATTTTACTGCCCACCATTGTAACTATCTTGTATGAAGGAGAACAAGATAAATCGTAGACTACACATCTTGACAAGTTTTCCATAGCCTTCCCTACTGTATGCTGTACACTTTGACAAGTTTTCCATAGCCTTCCCTACTGTATGCTGTACACTTTGACAGGTTTTCCATAACCTTCCCTACTGTATGCTGTACACTTTGACATGTTTCCATAGCCTTCCCTACTGTATGCTGTACACTTTGACAAGTTTCCATAGCCTTCCCTACTGTATGCTGTACACTTTGACAAGTTTCCATAGCCTTCCCTACTGTATGCTGTACACTTTGACAAGTTTCCATAGCCTTCCCTACTGTATGCTGTACACCTTGACAAATGTTCCCACAAGTCTTCCTACTGTATTGCACACATTTTACAAGTTTTCAGAACGTTATATTATAGCGTGCAGAGGGGGGGGGGGCGAAAGGTGCCGGGCCCTGGGCATCCAACGCAAAGAGACGAAAGGTAGAACCCTTTCCGCCCTTCCCCAAGGTCTTAGGTACAAGGCTCCGGGCATCATAGAACCTCTGCACCCACTGAGACAATGGTTTAACTTTTTCCAATATTATTTCATTCATTATTTTTCTACGCCTCTTTTAGCAGTAACTGATACTTTAGAACAACTTTGTAAACGTATTTTATACTAAGGAACTTCGTTTTCACGAAATACGTGCTATAAGAAAAACTCCAAAATTACATATGGTTAGATGAAGAATAGTGCTATCTAGTATTATTTGAATTTTGACATAAAACTCATATTAAAGTAAAATAAGAAAATAGAGAATAATCATTTAATATTAGCTTTTAATTCAAAGGAAATACAAGTACCTTTTTTATTGTATTTGACGCTGACGTATTGAAACCTTTGTTACTATGGTTATAAGAGGGTGTTTTGTCTAATTCTTAATAGTCCTTAAATTTTGATGAAAGAACTTGGATATTGCAAAACTAGGCAAAACTTAGAAATGCCCTCTATAAAAACAATAAATCGGATAGTTGTATTGAAGAACATTTTTTAAAAGAAATAGTGAAAAAAATTAACATTCACAAATATGCATATCTCTATTTTCAAAATAATTGACTTTCATTATATATATATATATGTATATATATATACATTTGACTGTGTAAGGGATGTTTTTGAATACTACTTAAGCATATATATCACACTCTGGTATACAGAGTAACCATGATGTCTAACAATAATTTTTTATATGTAAATCAATATTACGTCTAAACTGCTGCACTACAGAAAAAATCGTTTTTTCGTGTGATATTTTTG